ATATATTATATATATATATATACATATATATATACATATATATACATATATATTATATAGATACATACAAACGAACGAAATTAATAAAATAAAATAAAATAATTTCACAGAATTCGACATTTTCGCTACTACTTCTATTCGACTTCTATAGAATAGAACGGGACTTTTTCGTTCATTTTTCGATAATATTTACGATTCTGAACAGCACATGCTGATTATTAAAAATTATACTCATGATCTCAAGGAATAATCATGACTGTATAATATAATTATAAGCATTGCAAAAAAGATATTGTTTGCTATCATAAATTTTCGTATGCATATTACCTACTTCAAAGTTGAAACTGATGGAATAGTCCCAATCTACTCTACTAACATACACATACTTTTACGCATATTATAACAGAAGTCAGAAAGACCTGTGCACTTCAACAATATATTACTTCTCAAAATGACAATCGACTCGCCGTATCTTTTTGACGTCAATCATCGAGCACGTGCACGTAATTTTAAAAGAGAAAAATTGTTGTCAAAAGCTTCTAACAAATAGAGAGTCAATCAAAGTAAATGTAATTCAATATGTAAGATGTTATTATAATATTCCTTTCATTAAACTTATTATTAGATCGTAAAGCTGTTAAACATAATAGCATCATTTGATAGAAATAACAATTGAAATCTTTGAAAAATTACTATTAGTATCAATTGTATCTCTAAAAAAGTCTGCAATGTTACTCTATCGTTATGATTAGCCATATATCCGTTTGGTCATATCTACTGTTCTCGCTGAATCAGATTGTAAAATAAAAACGAACGATCAATTCCAGCATGTGAACTCGTGCATGTAACTCGAGGATAACGCCGAAAGCGATACGCAGAAAATATCCTTATCAATAGCCGATTGTCGCTGATTCAATGCGATTCAATTGTACATCGCTTTGAACTCTTTTTTTTCAGATAAAGACATAGAAAGACGCTTCTACTATGTGTATATTTGCGTCAAGCATTAAAAAGAAAGAAAACTTTGTGCTCTCCCTTTATTACACGCTCACACAGAGAATACTGTCAACTTCCACAACCCGTCACTCTCCATTTTTTCCTCCCTCCCTTCTTCCTCCCCCAATATGCCTCCCCTCTCGCCTTTTTCTCGACATCAGGTTTTACTTCCTTCTTTCTTTTCTATCTTTCCCTCTCTATCTGTCTATCTGTCTGTCTGTCTGTCCGTCACTCGCCACTTCACACGCTCACTCACACGATCAGTCAACCACACAAATGAGAATCACTCCCATTCACCTCGTTCACTCACTCGCTCACTCACCCGCTCTCACTCACACACACTGGTTGGGTTTCTTTTTTTATTCCATACACGGTGATTGTACGTATGTAACAACATGGACTTGCAGAATCGGACATTTATTGCAGCCTCTTCCTTTTCACTTTTCTCTCGCAAAGCGCGCGCGAAAGTCGATGAATGAAAAAAAAAAGTGAATATACGATTTAAGTAATCCAATAAATTCTTTCTTCTCTTCTAAATTCTAAAAAGAAATAAAAAAAGAGAAGATGATTCTCTTTAAGATTAATAATGCACTCTCAAATAAGCGGAACCGAAAAGCACATGTAATCTCATTTGTTTCACGCAGTATGATTAACAATAAAAGCCCGATTTTGTTATTGAGCACAGTGTGCGGTCAATAAGTACCTTAATAAGGAGCTTCGATGCGCCATGCCGTTACAACGGCCTCTGTATCGATGCGTGCACTGTATACACAACTGAGTCGTCGACGAAACACGTCTCGATTAATCGAGTCGCTCCGTTAGACTATAAGCATAGAAACCGTAGGTTGACCAGGAGCTATGATGCGCTGTGGGAACATCCCAATGCGCGGAGACACATATGAGAAGATCAGATTATCACATACGTGTGTGTGTGAGTATGAGTGAGAGTGTGAATGCGCGCGCGTGTGTGTGTACGTCAAAGTGTGTGGTAGCGCTAACGTTTCACTGTCACGAGCTCGTGTTGATTGCCGTCACTACTGCAAATTGCACGGTGTGTTAATGTACAAAAAGGCAAGAGAATTTCAAACGTCTCTTTCACGAATTGTTTCGTCATTTATTCTCATACGCGTTTACATCATAAAATAACTACCGTTATTCATTAATACTGATATTATATAATAATTCGTGTTCTGCACAAATTATCTGAATAAGTCAACACAATACAGTCAAATTGAAATCAACATCATAGTGATTATATAATGAATAATTAAAAATATACACAAACAAATCACATATGATAACAATCGCATTCATAACGTATTTTTGCAGAAATGCAAATACAAGATTTATAAGGGTAAAATTTTGAGATGCTGAAAATGGTTAACGTTAATAATTGCACGCTTCTCATTTGACATCTTCGGTCATGCTAGGCATACGGAAACCATACTGATTTATACAGGATGATGGAAAAAGTTTGTCTTCAACTCGCCCCCGCTGAAAGATCTATATTAAAACTCAGTCGTGGAATAGGGTCGAAGGGTCACCGGAAGTCCAGCATACGAGATACCACAAGGAGTCCGACCAAGTTAGTCGATTAGTTTCGTCGAGTAGAAAGCTCGGACTTTCGCGGACGCCCTTTCGCCCCTTAATTGGTCGGACTGTTCGAATACAAGTTATTACGATCGTTATAAGTTGTCGTGATACATTCCCATCACGAATTACAGGAGAATGCTCGCACAAATCATTAAACTTTCGAGATGATTCGTAAGATTTACAGGCTTTCATTAACTTTTACTTAACTTCGATTGAATCTTTGCCGTTTTCTAATCGAAGTTTTCCACGAAGAAGTAAACAGGCAGCCAAACCTCAACTAAAGTTAATCAATGTCAATAGAATGATTACTAAGAAGATAAATATCGCTTTGTGCCGTAAAACAATTAAGATTAATAATTTGATTTAATATTTCTAAAAGCTTTTAAGACTTTATTTCACAGATATACATATTCACTAATCTTAACACATTATTCTTTGCTTAGAAACTACCAAGGGATGTAAGCTAATAATATTACGGCCGCAAATCTCATGTGGTTCAACTTTATGATTGGCCCAAATTCTTGGTTCCTATTTATAATCGTAAATTCAATTTGACAGACGTTTCTGAGTGCGAATTTTGCTTGAAACGTATCGCGGCTGATGAGATCTATAAAAAGAAAAGACAGAAAGGCGCCGAATTTGTAGAACTCTAGAGAATTTCTTGATTAGTTTCAGATAGAAAAGTGTCGGGTCACGAACATCGTTTCGCTCTTAATTTAACCATTAAACGGGATATTATTACCTCTCATGATATCGATTTTGTATCTCCAATGTTGAACAAGGGTACTAGTTTGCGAGTATTTTTGCAATCGTCAATTTCTCATGGTCTTTCAACATACGAGCGAAGTAAAATTACTCTCATCTTATCTTACTCTCATGTTTCACTAAATCCATTTCGTAAAATATACAGAATCGTGCAGTACCATAACCAAGGATGAGAGCAGACGTACAATTTGCAGTAATCACAGATCATAGCAGATCGCATATCGTTACCGCATATGCTCGTCGACATGAAACGACTGCGACTTTCACGGCAAAAAGCGATAAAGATTCGAATTCTGCATTTCTCGTGAGATAGCTTCAACCATCAAAAAAGAAAAATACGATACGCATCAAATTCAACTATCAATACGTTTACAGGACACGCTTTGTCACATCCTACGCAAAGACCGTATGCGAACGTATACGTTTACGAGCATCCTCCGAAGGGTCTCCACTCTACCAAGCTATTGCTGACCGTGAGTCGTCACGTCGGTCTTAGTTGAACGCGTGATTTCTCGAAGGTCGCTCGGTCATTCGACAAATGAATACGAATAATGACCGTGTGCACGTACCTACCATTGAATATCTAAATACACACGACGTCTCCTCTTTCTACACTCTGTCGCCTGTCAAAGAAAAATTTCTCGTGGATTACATACGTGCAATATATACAACAATAACAATCATTAAAACTATAATAATAATCATTTATCAAGGAGCTGCGTGAATTGAGCGAACATTTTTTATTTTATTTATGCTCGACAATAACAGAAACATTGAATAAAACGTATGTAGTCCACGTACGTAATGAATACATCTATATAGAGAATGGAATCCGTTCCATCTACGAGATTGACGGTGATTTCCTGCGGAAAAGACTTATATGTTCAGAGAGAGAGAGAGATCACGCTGAACTAGATATACCACTAAAGCACACGCACAATTGTAAATATATACATACGAGAGCTCTCGGCGCGCAGTCGCCGTAAATCGACCCCGAGATCAAAAACGCGACGAAAGTGCGCTGTTCAAACACTATCACTACTTTGCCACTCTCTCACCACTACCACTGACCACCGCCATCACTTAACTTATCACTTTACCAACCCTTCTTCCCCGAACCTGAAAGGCCTCCGACATATAGCACTGAGCCTCGTGTCCGGGGACGTAGTAAGGGCCGACGACGGCCAGCCCCGAAGGAGGTTAAATCCAAAATCGACGTGTCGACAATGGTCCGACCGAATTAAAACGCATTGTGCATCTAGCCCAGCGCATGTAAGAAAGAAAATACTGTAACATTATCCATGGCGTACCAGGCTGTGGTCACGTTATCGGTATGCCTATGAATTTGCTTATAATTTGATTTTGATCTGCGACTTGTTCCGGTATACGTCCCTACTCTCCCCTACCCGCCCTCTGAGCAACTTTTGTACGTATAGTAGAGCAATAGATATTATCTAATATACATATATGGTGCGGCAACCGCATGTATCGGCATGTAATTATTTAATTTGGTCTACCTCAGAACAGGATAAAAAAATAAGTAAGTGATATATTTAAAGGTATATAGTTCGTTACTTTTCTTTTTCTTTTTCGTAATGACGTTTTCGTAATGATAATTGTCTGTTGAAAACATTTTTTAATAGCTTTAACTTCCACATAAAAATATCATTCAAAAATTTTTGTAATTTTTCATCAGTAATGATTGCTTGACAGATAAATCGCACTTTCCAGGAATTTCTACACTCTAGATCTAGATTATTACATTACGTAAAAGTAAAAGAAAGTTCATCACAGGAACACAATTCCTTTTTAATGTATATACACACCAAATGCCTGATTTATTGAATCCTAATTCAAACCTCGATAATTCGAAAAGGCCTCGATAATATTGTTCAGGGATAACATTTGAATTTTAATGGGACCATATGGAAGTCGGTATGGAAATTCGAATTTCTCGCAAAACATAGAGCATGGAGAATGGAGCATGC